TTTATTGTAGAGATGAGGTCTCGCCAAGTTGCCCAGGCGGGCCTCGAACCTGCGGGCTCAATTCACTCACCTCAACCCCCCAAAGCACGAGATTATAGGCTGAGCCACCGAGCCTGGCTTAGCATCAAAACTCTTAATTGGCAGAGCCATGGGGGTTGGCACCCATTGAATTAGTTCCTTGGTGTGGGTCACACAGCCAAGTTGGGCCAGTTGGTCCATCAAAATGCAAACTCTACAAAATACCTCAAAGAAGTTTTACAATAGAAATTTGGAAAGCTACAAGTCCTGTGACCCTCAGTGACCTGACTCTCAAACAGTTAACCATTATAGAGAAACAAACTAGGAGACAGTGACTGGTTACCATTTACTCTGCCTGCAGCTTTTTTTTTTTTTTTTGAGTTGGAGTCTCACTCTGTCAACCAGAATGGAGTGCAGTGGCACACCACTCATGGTCACTGCAGCCACGACCTGCTGGGCTCAGGTGATCCTTTCGTCTCAGCCCTCCACGTAGCTGGAACTACAGGCACGTGCCACCACGCCTAGCTAATTTTTTGGTTTATTGTAGAGATGAGATCTTGCCAAGTTGCCCAGGCTGGTCTCGTATACTCATGGGCTCAGGCAATCCTCTCACCTTAGCCTCCCAAAGTGCTGGAATTATAGACATGAGCCACCCTGCCCGACTGTGCCTGCAGCTTTATAGAAAGGTATGGGGGCCAGGCCTGTAGTTCCAGCTACTCGGAAGGCTGACGCGGAAGGATCGCTGGAGCCCAGCAGGTCGAGGCTGCAGTGCCCGGGAGCAGCCACTGCACTCCAGTCTGGGTGACAGAGTGAGACTCCAACTCAAAAAATAAAAAAATAAAAAACCCAAGCCTAGGCTGAGTGCAGTGCCTCAACCTATAATCCCAACACTTGGGAGGCCAAGGCAGGAAGATTGCTTCAGGCAAGTACTTTTAAGATCAGTCTGGGAAACAGTGAGACCTTGTCTCTACAAAAAAATCAAAAAATTAGCCAGGTGTGGTGGTGCACACCAGTAGCCCCAGCTACTCAGGAGGCTGAGGTGGGAGAATCCTTGGAGACCGGGAGTTCAAGGTTGCAGTACAGCTATGACTGCATCACTATACTCTAGCTTGGGTAACATAACAAGACCCTGTATCTAAAACAAACAAACAAACAAAAAACAAAGCCCAAAAATTCTCAGGGAGACAGATTTGAGAACTATTTCCCATCTCCTGCTTAGCAGTCCTGTGATAATTAAACTCTTTCTTTACTGGAACTGCTGCTGTCTCAGTGAACTATCTCTGTGCAGAGGGTACACAAACCTAGTCACACAGTGACAGGGCCTGAGGGTGGACCAGGCAGTGACAGATTTACTGAAAGGAAGGACAATGGACACAACTCCCTGCTGTGGTAGAGAGAATACCCGAGTTCTCTGTGAGTCCCAGATTCTTCATCTCTAACATGGAGGACTCTAGGCCCTGCACCGACTATTGTGAGCAATCACAGGGGCGGGCAGGGACAATACTATCTTCCAAAGAGTTGCACACTCTGCTCGTTACCCACCTGCATATTGTCTACTGTACAAATTGGTCCTTCTGACAAACTCCTTGCTAACTGCTCTAGGTGTGTTTTTTTGGTTTTTTTTTGAGTTGGAGTCTCACTCTGTCACCCAGACTGGAGTGCGGTGGCCGCTCCCAGCCACCGCAGCCTCGACCTGCTGGGCTCTGGCAATCCTTCCACCTCAGCCTTCTAAGTAGCTGGAACTACAGGTGCACGCTGCCATGCCTGGCTAATTTTTTTGATTTATTATAGAGATGAGGTCTCACCTGCCCAGGCGGATCTCGAACCCGCGGGCTCAGGCAATCCACTCACCTCAGCCTCCCAAAGGCGTGGGATTATGGGCTGAGCCACCAAGCCCGGCTTAGGTGTGTTTTCTTAACCAGCCAGAGAGTGTCTGGGTTAGGAATAAGGAGTTGCCTTTGGCATTACGTTGCCACCCCACGCAGCTTCCATCTTCAAGGAGCTTACAATCTGGGAGAAGAGTAAAACAGTTGCAAATAACAGTCAAAAACAGGCACCTGTGGTATGCCAGCCTTTCCTAACTTGCTAACATCTCCCTCTGAGGTGAGTGTGATCATCCCAGTAGTACAGAAAAGGAAGATGAGGCTCAGGAAAGGTGTCCCAGGCCATATAGGGGAGGGATGAAATCCCAGGTCTCCTGACTACACTCTACTGGGAGCTGCCCTAGCCCAACTCAGTTTATTTCAGTTTACTTCTTTGCTGAATGAAGGGGGTAGGCACATCAGACTACACAGTCTGCCAGGAGCCTGGTGCTCCTGCTATGACCCCCTGTGACCTCACCACTCACCCACAGATTAATTTCTGCAGAAAGACAAGAGTGCTCCAGGACCACAGCAGCTGTCCCCTCCCTCCCCGACACCAGGAGGCAGAACTTGACTGCCAGATTCAGAGATTGAAGAATCTCTTTGTGTGAAAGGTCCCCAAGAGGGAAAGGAGGAGACTGCTCATGTGTCAACAAACATTTGCTGAGCTGCTGTTAAGCCAAGCAAAGAGCTGGCATATTTCACACTAGGAGCTCCTCATCCGGGATCCTCCTTGTACATAGGCTGGGCCTGGGCCTGTGTTCATTCTTCCCCAGGGAAAGGGGCCATAGCTTTTCCAAAGATGTTGGAACTACTGCTTTATGGGGATCATAGGATATTAGTAATCCTCATCACAAGCCTCTTTCCTTCATCTTACAAATAAGAAAACTATGGCTCAAGGGGCCTGGGTGGGTCCAGAGGGTACCTAACTAGGAAGTACCAAAGAAAAACACAAGTGCCCTCTTGGAATGTTTCAAAACAGAAGACTAATTCATCTTTCCAGGCTCCACCCTTATGTCCCTTCCCTGCCTCCTCCACCCCACAGCGTTCCTTGGGCTTGTACACCAGACTCTTTGCCACCCAGGCCCCACTGTATCATCTTGTTGCTCTCCCCCTCCAGTCACTGAAAGACCTGTGGTATCTATGACTGCGAAACTCTTCTACTTTCAAGTCTTCGCAAGTGCTGGGCCCCCTACCGGGATCACCCTAACCCCAGTACCCTCAGGTAGCCTGCAAAACTGCTCCTTTAAACCCCATTCAAGAGCCGCCTCACCCGGAAAGCCAGACTTGACCCTCCTGGTCCCCTTCAGGGTTCCTGTAAAACTCCAAACACCACTACTGTGAGCGCACAACTGCACGTGGTCGGAGGAGTTTGATGAATGAATGACGCGCCAGCAGCGGCGCCCGGTCTGAAAGGCATATTCAGTAGGCCATAATGGTGGGCCCCCGAGGGCTCCCGGAGGAGTCCCGGAGCTCCTTAAGGAGCGACACGGGTGCCGTCTTCTCACCACGGTCCCCAGTCCCAGCAGGGCGGCACGGAACAGACTCTAGCAAAGAGTTTGCTGCCAGATTGCACGGACGCGGAGTTCCCGGCTCACCTGGCCATCCGCCACCGTCGGGCGCCTGGGAACTGCGAGGTTTTCTCCTTGCATCGGCCCTCACCCCCCAGCCCCGGGCCCCTACAGCAGACCCTCTCCCGGCCCAAGTGACCTCCCTGCCCTGCAAACCGCCTTCTCCAAACAAACGCGGTACAAAATCACTTTCCCCGCGGCAGAAACGCGGTCCCCGCCTGGCCCGCGAGGCCACCGCTGCCGCGCGCGCACCCGGCCCGCTCGGGCTGTTTGAATCTCCCGCCTGAGGGCGCCGTGGGACGGGCGTGAGAACGCGACGGCGGAGG